TGCAAAGAGATCATTTTGAGAACTGCAAAACCAAGCTGGCTTTTTAAGCACAACCCTACCAAGTAAGGATGGGGCTCTAGCTCCCTGTTTTCACTCCATACTCTGCAGCTGATCTGTATATGGAATTAGGAACCATATTCTTCAACAGATGTCTCTTTTGGAGAAGACTTTCCTTTCCTCCTCCACTGCAGCTCCTGCACACATAGGGAAGAAGCATCCAAATGTCAGCTTGCAAGCTTGCAGCTGTTCAGTGCTCTCATGTGATCCCAGAGGCTTCCCTCACCTGCCTGGGAGCTCCCTCAGCACAGCATCCCCTCCATCAGCTTTTCAGCAAATACAAGAGCAAATATGAGGGTCAAAGCTGGAACTGGCATTTAATGTAATAAATACTACCTGCCACTCATACCTCATGCCATCATTTTGAGTTGAAGATGCACCAATAAAAATGCTCCGTATTTGCTGAGCGACAACACTCAACCCTTAAAGCAGTCTGCACTGTGCAGTGTAAATAGCAACACCCTTAATTTTTTTTAATCCTTCCTCTGTAGTCTCCAGCACACAACACATGCAACACAGATAATTATTTTTCCACTTTATCCTCAGCTGATTTCAGTTCATTTCTGTTCTTGGAGATTTCTATTGTGCATAAGTTTAATACAAATACACCATCTGTAATTGGATCCCAAACAGACAACACTAAACTATCTTTTTTTTTCCCCCACTGATGCTCAAGACTTCTGGCAAATGCCAAGCTTGCCAAGAAGCTCAGCTTCCAGTTGTGGTTCACAGCTCCTACTAAAGAAACTGCTTTATTTATTCCTTAAAAAAAGGATTGCACAGAGGGTGTTAATGATTCTTCTTCCAGCATTGCTGGTTCTACTCAATAAACAAAGCCTCCTACCCCAAAACAGTGTGAAAGGGCTCTTCTCTGTGTTTCAACCCGTAATTAAAGGACAGGACTATTTGGTGTCTCATTCCTCAGGCTAACAGCTCCGTGTGAGCTGTAGACATTTTATAAACGTGTAACAAAACTTTCCAAGAAGAATAACTTTACACTGCAACCAAGTGGAGAAGTTACAGATAAGACATGCCAAGAAAATATTCAGAAAAAAATAATCACTCAATTTTTCATTTATTTACTTGCATTAATATATATACATACATATATATATATATCTTTAATACCTGATTTAGTTGAAGTGCAACCTTTTCCTAAAAGGGCAAAGTCATTGTATTGTTAGCCAGACGCTTCACAGTGGCCTCATGTTTCAGAATGAGTTCAAATGTGGAAAAAACTTACCTAGCCTGAAAAGCTGGAGATTTTGAATCTGTTTCACTGATTATTTCTACTTCTCTCAAGATGAGTGATGAAAATGTACCAACCAGCTTCATGCTCTGCTTATTTGCACCAAAGCAAAACTATTCATGCTGCATTCACAACTTTGCTGAGCACACTGCAAATAGTTGGTTGCCTTTAGGCTGTTTTTCCTCCAAGTTTTTGACCACAACCTTCATCAGTTAGTTTTAAAAAATATAATATTTCTGGTTATTACCATGACATTTCATGAAATTGATATTCTCTATTATATAGTAACAGGAAAATAACATCAGATACCATGCTATTTAAATTACTCATCTAAGAGCTTTAATGATCTGTTGTATTTCTCCCTTCTATTCTGGTTTCTGTGTGCAGCACTTGAATTAACTTTCATCTCTTTTTGCTGTTTCTTTCAAGTATAAAAAGGCTTCATTACACAGAATCCTGCCAGCTTTCTCTACCAGCCTGCCCTTTTGTAGGTCTCCAGGAAGGGAAATGGTGCTGGATTTCACCAAGTATACCTTGTGCTCAAGAATCCCCTCTGACTGTCCTTCTTATCAGACATCCTCTCTAAATCTTTACATTTTCCAACCATGACGCAGGCTATGGTTAATTTTTCCTATAAATATATTAACTCCATTGAGAAAAAGCAGGTTAGGATGACTGGGGAAGAAAAAGATGGAGAATATGGACTGAGGAAAGCATCTGAGCTGGAGCAAATCAGAGACGTGGTTTGGACAGAGAGGGTGTTACTCACAACATTTATAAGTGACACTTCCAGCCAGAATCCAGCACACAGTCTTCCAGTGGAGCATCCAGAGCAAGAGAAAGAAGGTGAGGTTCCCTTTTCCACATGCAGCTACTGAAGTCAGAAGACCTAAATAACAGTTTTGTGCTGCTGACTGGCTGCTTGTTGGACAGGGAAGGAATTATTTCCTGCCTACCTGGTTTAAGTCCCTGTGAGCACTATATTCCAGCACAGAGGCCAGGAGGAAAATCCATTGCCTCTCAATGTAGAAAGAGAGGAAAGATCTACTAAGCACAGAGGCCAGTCACATCACCATCAAGTCATCACAGATGTGGGATGGGAAGAATATGTTACATTTTCTGTTTGGGTTTGGAAACTTGCCAGCATAATTATTTAATTCCTTCTCACGATGCTTTTATCCATACCTTTTAAGTAAGTTTTATTAGAAGGCAGGCTAATTTCAAATGACCTTTCCTCTTGTCTTGTTTGCTTGTTTATAAGCATTAGAACTTTTGTATGAAAGAAGATGGCCAGAAGGAAAAAAAACCACGAAAAAACCCTATAGATTAGCATGCCATTTACCCTGCAAAGAACTTAAAAAAAAAAAAAAAAAATCCCTTGTGCAAAGTTAAAAAGAAGAGGGATCCAGACAAGTAGAAAGACTTCAGTATCTTCCTTTTCCCTCTGCATAGTCAGAGAAAGAAAAGAGGTTATTTGTGAAAAGCCACCATGGACTGAGCCTGCAGTCTGATAAACAACAATAACCTTTTTCTTGACACTAATTCCTTTATTATATTTTTAGAAGAATTTAAAAGCCACTTATTTTTGAAAACTATGATTTCAGGAAAAAGTATAATTTTCACATTTCCTCTGATGTGTTGTGTGCCCTGCTGTGTTATGACATTTCAAGTTTCATCAAGTCACATTAATTTAGATTCTCACATGTTTTCTCAGTGGAACCTGCTCTCCGGGTCAATTTTCACTCATTGTTTGATCACTTTAATGTATTTGTATTACTGAATATTTGGGCCATATTAACTGATCTTCCCATACCCCATGCTTGCAATTCATTAGCAATGATTTCTCCTCTCTACATGAAGAAAGAAAAAAGAAATGAGAGAGAAAGAAAATGAGAGAAAGACAAAGACTTAGGAAAAATGTGAACAGCAATTTAGAGCAGAGCTTGGGATGTAGCCTGGTCTGTCACTCAGGATTTGTTTATACTAGCAAATTTTCTCTGGTGCAACCAATGTAGATTGGTGACCCAGTAGAAACCTGTATAATAAACACATTTCTCTGGTTTTAAGACTTCCTTGATTTCACTCTGTGTTTTGAGAAGCACGCTTGAAGCAGTGCAAGTTTTAGAGATTTGCATTGGCGTTAAGTAAAACAGTCTGCTGGATCCCATCAGTACAGAAAGCCATCCTATTTTCCAGGCTGGGTCAATGCTGATGTGAGAGCTGAACACCTTTGTGGTGTTGGAACTCATCTGGGTCCACTCTTCCACAGGCTGAGGCACAGCACATATTTGTAGGGATAAATGCAGCCAAGATCAGTCACTGTGCCTCTTCATCCAAACCCCACTGAGCCTTGCTGCACACAGCGGTTAAGATTGGGGTTAGAAGTCTGCCCTACTGCCCAGAAGTCCGAGCACTCAGATTTCTGCTGCCCCTCCCTCAGATTGTGCCTGAAAAGCTGAAATACCCAAACTTGAACACCTTAAATTCCCAGAGGGCATGGAAAGTTTGTGCAGAGGCACAGCTAAGGCACAGTTTCACTTTTCTTGCAGCTCCTTCCATAAACAAAGGTCAAATGATAAAACAGTAAGCAAGGGAAACAGCAAATTTTATCTAATCTTTCCTTATATTTATTAAATTAATGAGTGAATTGCCCACTTCTTCCCACACTTAACCCTGGAGGTGAGGACATCACATAGAGCTCAACTGTTGAATTGGACTTTAAAATTTTTGTTGGACTCTCAAACTTCAAAATTCCTTTCCTAGTCCTAAAAGCAGCTCCACCAGTGGAAAGGGACAAAGCTGGGGATGGGAACTTGTCTGACACAAGCATTTCAGGTCTTTGGGTTGCGTTGTCTTTAACCTGTTTGGAGCAATCAGGTGATGTAGTTTGTTACTGATGGCTGGATTTCAGTGCAAACCTTTCTTCCAGACTTTTCTAATTCTAGGTGAGCTGCCACAAAGGCAAAAGACCGGAAAACTCTATAAACAGAGGGGAAACTCTTAAATGTAAACACAGCCACTGAGAAACCAGCCTGCCCACTGCAATGGTCTCCTCTTTCTGAACAAAGATGCTGATAAAGCCTCCCCTAAAGGATTGGCTGAAGCAAACTGAAGACATCAAAGCCATGAAAAGTGGGCAGAGAAGGCTTGTCAGAACAACTTGAACAACCTTTGTATAACTGACAGCAAATGGGCCGGTGCCACATGCTCTCCAGGAGGGAAAACAGCACAGCTATGACAGCATATCCATTACCCTCTGGATGCTGGTGACAGCAAGAGTAACCTATGTGCTTACATTTAGAGATTAAAGACAGCAACCAGCCCCAACAGGACATTATGTCCCCAGATGTTGTGCAGCAAAGGATACTTGTATAAAATGGCAGCGGCATACCACAGGTAGAAGCACACAATGGCCAGGGTTGGAAGGGACCTCAAGGATCATGAATCTCCAACCCACCTGCCACATGCAAAGCCTCCAACCTCCCCATTTAATGCTAGACCAGCTAGACCAGAAGCAGGCTCATTTCTCCCAAGGGCAGCACCAAAAAAATCCCTTCTATGTGCAGAGTTTAGCACTAAGTGGCTACAAACAACCGTTCCTCACTCTTGCTTGGGCTGGGAAAAACACTACTCCTGCTTCTCTGGGTGTAACTGAGACAATATGGTAACTTGTACTGACGCAAAGCATTACCTTGCCAGCTACTGCACGTGAAATCCAAACCAATCTTCCTTTTGCCAAGGAATTGTGCTTATGATATAATACATCCACAATAGTACATGAAGAAGAGCCTGGAAATAAGCATTTGACACAATCCATACCTGCCTGCTGCAGGGGTGAACAGATTCACTCTTCCTTCAAATCAAAGCCCTTTGTTTTTTCTTTTTCCACTCTTCTTTCTGCCTTTACGTTGTAATCAATACAGTCTAAGCTTAGGGAATATTACCAGAGCCATGATTGCAACCTCTAACATTATAATCCATAGGGTTGCTGGGAGCATTAGAACATTCAGGATAAATTAATTCAGGGTAAGTTAAAGCTTTGAAGCTAGGAGCATCACCAGGCTTTTGAAGCTTAAGCCCTGTTTAGATTACTTGATTAAAGTAGGTCCAAAGCTTCGCCAATCAATATAGTTTGCTTAGGAACAGAGTTGATACAGAAGCATATTTAATGGGATCTGCAGCACCCCGCCCAGAAGACAGTCCCTGAGAATGAGATAACATGCTGGGGGTGTGGGGAGAGGCAAAAACATTGCCATGTTTTGTGCACATCTGCAAAGCTTACTTGCAGTGGCTGTCAGAAATATCTTGTGCAAGGAAAAAGGGAGCAGGGGAATCAGTAGGAAATTTTAGACTTGGGAGAGTAACTGAATCTTCATTTAATCTCAAATTCTAAAAAAAATGACCCAAGGTGCATAGATCTATCTATGTCCATGCACTCTTAAAGGCATAGGCTTGCCCTTCAGCCAATTTCAGTTTTGCCACCAGTGCCATGGAATTAGGGCTGAGGGTTTAGTTACCTGGATGGCAACAGCTCTGAAAAGATTACTGACATCGTACCTACAGCCAACGTCAAATAAAACACCATTCTTTGTACTAAAATAAGGAGCTACAAGAGCCAGCTGGTATGTAGGGTTTTCCAGCTCCCATAACATTATAACATTTACATAATCTCTTTAAAATACTACAATTTTAACAGCCTAGTGAACTTTGCTGGGCTTTCCACAGAACTGAGGACAGTACCAACACTGAATTTTGCCATCAAAGTCTACAACATTGTATCCACACTAAATACAGTTAAAGGCCAGATCTTGAACTGCTGAAAAGTCTTATTATCTGTGTACAGTTCAGCTGAAAAAGATGTACTTTAGCCTGAACATTAGATCACACTTGAGAAAAGCCAAAAAATACAATTTTGTGGTATTTTGTTGGTCATCTGAGAATAGGAGCATGCAACAGTACTCCCTGCTGAGACTTACAGTAATGGGGGAGAGCACAGGTTCACCTTTGTCCCTCCTTCTTTGCTTCACAGTTATGCCTGCCTGGTGATTCACGTGTAAAGTTTCCCTCAAATAAGGATTAGGGAAAGACAAATTAGGAGGTCAAGACAAATCAAAGAACACCCACAAAAATACTTTGCTTTCTTCTTTTACATCAGCAGAGCACAAATGAAGCTAACGCTGCAGTTGGCAGAATGTAGGGCAAAATGAAGAAAAACAAGATGCAAGGAAGAAGAAAGGAGGATGGAAACACTGCTTTTCAGAAGTAGAAATGCATCCTGATGTGGTACCCAGAAGTCAGTTGATAATTCTCCTCCAAGTCATTTCATAAACAGCATGATTTCTAGACTGTGATTTTGTTATCACTCACATCAGCACTCACCAGCCTCCAGGCCACCGGATACAGTGATGCTGAGGCTAACCAGTTCAGGAAAAGCCCTCCAGGCATTATGTTAATATTACTTAACTTCAATAGCTAGTGAGGAGCCAGACTCCCTCAGCATCCCCAGAGCCTCCAGACAGTGACAGAGAGCCACAAGGTTACAGCTACAGAAGCTCTTCCAGCACCCAGGGAGCCTCACCTCATACTGTGAGCACCTGTTTTAGATGTTTACAGTTAGGAGATGTTAAATGGCTCTGACTTCTGCCTATAGAAAGTTAATACTGAAACCGGTACTGTGTGTTGTCACTTGGGGGATAATCTAGTACAAATATTAAGTGAATGCTCCATCACTGTAATTGAATGTTACTGTTCAGACAGTGGCACTTCATTACTAGGGAGGAAGAAGTCACACAAAGCAACAGTGGCCCAGATCTCCAGGAACAGCTGCAGTGATGGGACAAGGGCTGTGATGGCACAGAACAGGCAGCCAATATGCTTTAGTAAAAAATGCTGTGAGAAGTGTGAGAAGTGGTGAAATCAGGTAGGGTTGCCTGTCTTGCCTGGGGTACTCAGTTTCTCTTTGGATTCTCCTTTTTCCCCCCTCAGAAATCCCTGGCTCAACAAGGAGTGTATCTATGTGGAGACTCAGCAGAGCTCATAGTCAACCCTGCCCAGGCAAACCTGCCTAGGACACACTCACATAGTTTCAACATCCTGAAATGTGGTTCAGATCATCATTCATGCCATTTCATACCACCAAGTTGAAGTCTTTCAAAATCAGAAGATCTTGCAGAGGCAAAGCCATCCTGATTTCCAGAGTCAGATACTAGCACTTGCTTCTGACAGGGCTTCCTTTGCCCAGGGCTCTGGGATGTCTCAGAGCCAGCACCAGAAACCTCTGTTCTGCCACATCTTTCTCCCCTGCAGTCAATGAACACTTTCCTTTCCCTGCTCTTCCCACTCATTGCTTGCAAAGCTCAGCGATTCAAAATAGCTGATTTCAACGTCTTTCAGACAATATTCCCCAAATCCAGTTTATGCATGGCAGATCCCCAGCTGAACAGGAACAGCCCCTCCCCACTGCTGTGCTAGGAAGGACAGCAAGCCTTGCCCACCTGCAGCAGGCCAGGTCTCTCCCTCCAGGGGATGATCTTCTTACATCACTGCATGACACAAACCCCACTGTATTTGAATACACAAGTAGTGTGGCTTCAGTAAATAAGGTGGTGAATGAATTAGGTTAGAATAAGCAAGTGCAGTAATTAGTATGCCAATAGCAGAATAAAGCTATTTTTTAAATCACCAAACAGCATTGCTCTTTACTATGATTGCAGAGATTATGTAAGATGGTGATTAAATCAGGTCCCTGCATCACAGACGGATCCATGTTTTAGAGGTACAGAAACAAAGTTGCAGAGGAACAGCATTGTTTTAAATGGCTCTCTCTGTTCGCATTTCCTAATGAAGTGTAAAGCAGCTGCATCACCAACCTCTTCCAACTCACGCTACTTTTTCTAGGCAGCATTTTGCCAAGAAATCATTTCCTTTTTAAGATCAGCTGAGTACTTCTGGGAACATCAGCTCAGGAGAAATCTGCTGCATCACACCCCAGAACTCAGCCGAGTCACCAGGCATCCCTTATGTGCAGCGCTGACACCTACAGTGCTTCCAGCAGAAGTATTTCACTCATTTGTACATCACTTTGTTGAAGATTCTGCACTTTGAGACCAAGCTACCAAAAAAAAGATGCTGCTGTTTTCAATCACAGCTACTTGGAAAAAGCCTCTAGAAATTGATTGTCATTAAAGACTTGGCAAGAACACTGCTTATGATGATAAGCAGAGATTTTAAAGTTTTGTGTATACTGCCTCTTGCACTGTAATGCTCAGATTGCTGTATTTACCATCATTATTTGATTTCTTACACCGCAGTGGAGAGCAGCATTGCTAATCAAATATAAAGAGGCAGCCAATCCCAACACAAATAGAAATATAAATATAAGCCTGCACATTTATAGGCAATCAGAACTATGTCAAACAGCATAAGATAAAAAGCACAGTATATGCTTGTTGTTAAATCAGACAAACGTTTGTCTCACAATATTTTCACAGCTTCTCACTACTGTTAATCAATCATCAGCTGTATTTTAAGATGAAGTTTCAAAATGCTTTAATTACCTTAGTGGGAAACATGCCCAATTATAGCATCATGAGTTATTAAAGCTGAGAATTTATTCATTTGTAGCAGTTTTTTAACAAAACCAACGCAACAGAAACTTATTATTTGATTTCCTGGCATAAAAGATCGCTAACACATAGAAAAAAAGCCATTTGCCATTACTTGCATTACATTCTCTGATTTCTTTCTAGACAGCTTCGTCACACAGCATACATAGGCAAGCAGTAACACCACACGTGGCCTTCCTTGCAGGAACATCAAACCGATATAACACAAAGACCATACAGACAGGCATTTTGCACTTACCCGTTCCGTCGAAGATGTTCTCCTCCTGCAGACCACCGAGGTGAACCTGGGCACACAACACCTCCCATCAGGCCTCCTCTGTTCAGTGCCCCCTCAGCCTCATGCTAGGACCTGTGAAGGATCTCTACTTCAGCACAGAGGTGGCCAGAGAGGCTCCTGAACAGTCATGCTGTCACGTAGGGCGCATTGGGCAGCAACAGCTATCAACACCCCAAGGGGTTCGGCAGGCATGTGCCTCTGCATCCTCCTCAGACACAGGCCAGAGAGCCCTGATGGTGCTTCAGCCTGCAGACTTAACTCAGCACATACCCTCAGACAGCCAGTGAGGGGCTGTAGTTGCCAGGAGACCCCAGGTTTCAGCCTAAGGGCACTTCCAAGCTACAGCCTTGACCCAGTCACACTAAGGACCAACCAGCTCTGAGCTGAGGTCAATAAAAAGGAGAAACCAGCTGAGCACCATCACTACAAATGAGCAGAGTAGGGCAGGTGCATTTAATGAGGGATCTAGCAAATACGGGGGTGGGCTGGAAATCCATTTCATAGCAACAGGGGTATGCACATCTCAGAGTGATAGACTACAGTCTGTAGATCACTTATGCTGCAGCTTGGACACCTCTCAGGGCCTCTGTCCTACAGTGGTCTGTGCTGGGGGTAGGGACAGCCCATAAGAAAGAGGAGCTAAGCAGCAAAAGAGCCTTACAGAAGTCCCTTGGGCTTCTCACACTGCTTTGCAGCTTGCCAGAGGCATTCTGACAAGCTGTGTGTAACCTGTGGTAAAAATACGGATGTTAAGGCTGGAGGTAGGACAGGTGTTTGTGTAAGTGGCTGATTGTTTGTGTGCTTTCTAAATACCCAAATGAGCGATCAGCAGTTTGTGTTAATTGACAATAAAGTAAAATTTGCCACTTGAGACCATTTTGCCCGCGACAGACAAATTTCATGGTTGCACAAAAGGCCTGTAGCACCGCCAGGGTTCAGCCTGCCTCACACAGAAGGCCTAGGGCAAACCGCTTGGGTCTTCCTGCAACTCCCTGAAGGGAAGCCTCTGTTTAGAAGCTGTGAACCTCTGCTGGGCTGTGGGAGCCAGGTATCCCCTACATGGCAGCTCTCTGAGTGCGCTGAGGCGCTGCAGGCTGTGAGGCCGTGGGCAACATGCGGCGCAATGGTGGCTGGGCCAGCAGCAGGAGGGGAGCCAGCAGGGGAAGATGGCGCAGAGCACAAGTTACGCATATTCTCTTCACCAGTCTCCTCTTGGTCTGAGATTTTTGGTCCTAACCTTCATTACGTTGCTGCCACAGTGGATGCTGAGAATACACTGCAAAAGAGAACTTGTGCGGCTCTAAGTAGCAGCAGAAAAAGTCTCTGTTAGACAAAAGCATTCCTTCTTCTTCTCAGCCTCTTTACAAGTTAAATCTACATCTGAGGCTCTTCACAGAGCCCATGTTGAAACCACAACACCTGAGGAATAATTTGTAAGATTTTTCTCTTCAGATTCACTTGAACTGGAGAAAGCTACAAGGCAGCTACTATTCCTTTGTATCCTTTACTGTTCACCTTCTGAGGAGATGACTTGCGTGCTGTTTCCCCCGTTCTAGCTTCATTTTGGCTAGCAGATCTGTGCAGACAGGCACTGAGTGGCTTGGGTGCACAGCACTGATCCCTGTGGCCGTCTGGGAGCAGCCTCAGGAGCAGGACATCTGCTAAAAGGTGAGGGACTGATTCGCTTTACGCAACCGGCTTTCAAGCTTCACAGTATTTCCTCCAAGCATTTCCTTTGTACTGCAAGCTACAGGAGTAACTTGGCAAAAGGGCTGGGAATCCTGTGCTGCAGAAACCAGCATAAAGACTAGTAGGTGCTGTTTTTCAGACCAGTCCTGTTACATATGTCTGATTACTGAATCTCTTCAGACAGAATCATAGAGATTGGAACCGGCCACTAAGACCATCTAATCCCACCATCAACCCATTGCCACCAGGCCCACTGGCCAGGTCCCTCAGTGCCACATCTACATTTCCTGACTCCACCACCTCCCTGGGCAGCCTGTGCCAATATCCCACCACTCCTCCTCAGAAGAAATTTTTTCTTAATAATTCCCAGGAAATCAGCTTTGTTTCTAGGCTGCAAAACTTGATGACAAAGGAAGATCAGACTCTAAATTAAACAGCAATTTGACATCTAGTAATTTGCATATGACAGCAAATTAACACGATTCCTACTGCAGTGAAAATACAAGTAACATCCCACTGGGGTTAGGGTTTACTTAAAAATGAAGCAATTCATTTGTGAAAAAAAAAAAAATCACTGTTTTTCCTCTATAATACCTGAGTGTATTTTGAAGACAGTACTCACAAAACTACAATTGTTCAATTGATGCAACTCAGTAATTTTTATTGCAACTGGAAGACAATACATCACAGAAACTTTATGGTAGGTTTTGGGAAAGTGTTATTTACAATAATAATTGATGAAGTAGTTTGTCTTTGGCAATATGATTACACATCAAGAAAATGTAAAATGCAAGTATGCCTCTAAATCAACATTTTCATATTCCCTAAAGATCAGCTGATTGCACTTGTCTTCGGACTGCTCATTTAGGTAAACACAAATACAACTTAACATCACTGTTCATTCCCCATCACAGTTTGTATTTTAATATTGATGAAATTGGCAGTTTCAGATGCCAAGTACAGGAAAAAAAATTGGCTTATCACTGTACTGAATTAACATATTGGCCAGTTAAGGTCCTGTGACCCTTAAGCACTGATATTAAATCTCTTGGTCTTTTGATTGCTTTATCACTTTTTTTTTTTTTTTTTTCTGTAAAACAAAATATTTCAGAAATTACAGATCAGAGTATAAAAAAAATGTACAAGTCCATAATGCTTTTCATACACACACAAATCATTCCCCCCAACATTTTACATCATGGCAGTTTTAAGTAGTGAGTGTGAATGATGCAGGCATGGAACTGGTTATCAGGTACAGGTATTACTTTCAATTGTCATCCCACATACATACTCAGAAATGCACAATGCTCTGTTAACTTAAAAATGTAATGAAGTTCAATGGTTAATCTGAAAGAAAAAATGTCTTGGCATTTTAGGCCAGAGTAAAGAGATTCCCATTTCTAGATGATGGCCGTTGCAGAATGCAACACGCAATTCTAGCACAAGTTGCAGTTATCCCTTAAACCCTCAGATAATGAACCCTCGGACTGCTGGCCTGATCCAACGGCCAATGAAATTAAGAGAAAAAGAAAAACTGAAACAGAATCGCCTTCCACTGCCTGTGAGAGGCTGCTCCATCAGGCCCGTTTCCCCTCTTTGCAAAAGGAAACGTGATACAGTAGAAAAACCATGATACAGCTTCAGATAAATACTTCATGTTTCAATGCTAAAACAAAAACAAAACCCAAGCTCCCCAAACCAGGAAAGGCTACTTATTAGAACAACTCAAAGTGACCTCTAGATCATTTCTGGTTTTAAATGTACACCAGCAAAATACAGCACCATAGACACATTAGGTTGAGACTTTTTTTGGTCAGTGAAGCTAGTACTTGTTGGCTGAACTGTGGAAGAATTGTAAGGTCATGTACATGATAAAGCAACCCAGCTGACAAGTCTCTGCTTAATTCAAGAATTACCAGTACTAGAAGTAAAAATGCAAAAACAAAACAAAACAAACAAAAAAAAAAGAACAAAAAAACCCCTAATAAACCACCATTAATACTTTCTAAAGAAAAGGGGATTAGCAGATGAATTCACAAATGTATGCAGATTTATACAGAACACCGAATGTTGTGTGTAAATCCTTATAAACTCCAGCTTAAAACAGAAACACACAAATGTATAGTTTGACTTACACATTCCATTTCAAAGGAAAAGAGACATCATTACAACTTGGTAACTGTGCTAAATGCAATATAAACCAAACAGAAATTCAAAGTTTGGCAGATAACTAAGAAGAGGGTTATCACTTAGGTTATATAGCAAAGTGTTGATGTATATTACATAGAGTAGTATAAATAATAAAAAAGTATTATTTAAATTAGATCACAGTGCTGCATTATGTGCATAACAGTGTTTGATATATTACTGGAGGGCTGTGAAGAACACTACTAAAACTTAACTGGTCAGACAGTCAACACTGATATTCTGTTACAATCAAGAGGATGTATGGTTCAAATGCTCTTTTGGTGGCAAAGTCAAGAAGTTTTCAAAACATTTCCTGTAAAGTATGCCCATGAGCTGTTCAAGCAGCAGCGGGATACTCGAAGGAACGTCTGCATTCTCCATGAAGTGAAGTAAATTGCATTGCATCTGGAAGTAAATGCATTCTCTCTATACGTTAATCCTGGAGCACAGGACAGCAATGTTTGAAAAAACTACTTGGGCCAGATCAAAGGAAAAATGGTAATAATAGAACAGTATAGATTTTCAAGAGCACCTGGATGTCTGTAGCTTCATTGACTGCAAAGGAGATGAGACACCCTGAGGTACTGGAAAATCCCAGACTGTGCCTATCTGCATGTTTAGATACAGAAATAATTCCAGAAAAATTAGGATCTCGATGATTTGGCTACTGAGAAAATGGCCATTTTATCCATGGTGCCATTTGGCATACAACTTAGGATTTAGTACGTTCAAGTATGTTGACACCCCTCTACCCCACTCTGGTGAAGAACACAGCCCACAGTTTCCTTGTATCTTTTGCAAAGGTAGACAGTAATTCAGTTGAACACTGGAAGCTGATGCACCTCCTTTGGGATTCTTTTCTCCCAATTTAAGGTAAGACAGGAGTCAGCCTGGACATCACTTGAATTACCAGTAAGAATACAGCCACAGGCTAGTTCTGCGGTCCTAACAGCATGTCTCATCAAATTGCTTTCAGAAACTGCTACGGGATGTTGTATTACAGCTGCTCAAGAACCGTGCCCAAATCTCTAAATGCAGGCAAAAATCTGCATCAAAATGACTTCTCATGAGAACATCCAACTGCTTGCAGCATGCAAACATGGCCAACAGATTTCACCTCCCTGAAGACTCCTGTGAAATCTGCTTGTGGCATCTGGACTGCAAGAGCTTCTCCCTGCAGAGGGTATATTCCAAGGAAACTCCTGGTGAAGTCTGAGTGACCCCTACAACACACATCCATACGAAACTTGCCACTAAAAGCTTGCTGACCTACCAGGATTCCTATAGTCCCCACCTGTTCTGGAGAACCATTAATTTGGCAATACTGATAGGGTGAGGAAAACAGAAAGTTAAGAGATTCTATGACTTCTCACCCCAAAATGGCTTAGTAAAGAAAGGAAACAAGCAAAACCCAACCACCTCATGTCTGGCAAGTGAGAGAGCTTGTAATACAGTGCAATTACCACCCAGTTTTGGCATGACTCACTGTAAGGAGAGACAATTGGGTTGAGGAGATGACTTTTTTTTTTCTTCTGGAAAAACACACTCAATTCTTAATAATAATTAAAACGAGATAGAACTTTTCTGATGAAGTATTACCAATTCTGACAAAGCTGCCATTTTTACCTAGCCACAAAAATGTTTTAAAAGGCGACTCATAAATATTTTATACAAGTCCAAATTATATACTTGTCAATAATTAGAGGAAGCATCAAGTCATCTGTTGATTAGCACTCAGCCAAACTGTGAACTCCTCAGCAGATCAAATGAGGAGGAACACATTTCACATGAAAACAGACACCTGCCAACAGTTTACGTCTACCAGCAAGTATAAAAAGAAGATGTTGAAGTCTTAGATAGATTATATATGTGTATACTCATAAAGATAACCTGCTTAATTAGATATTTATGCAAAATGACCAATTTCTAAGGTAATACTAGTGGTAATTACATATTTAGCCACCAAGAGTCCACATTAATGAATAGTACTTGCTGTGCAGCAGACACTGATCTTGTTTGCACTGATGTACTGCAGTCAGTAATAATGCTTTGCAATTAGTGTTTCGACTGGGCAGGATCTGGCCACCAGCAGACAACCACATCGCCTTCTCTGGAGGAAAGAAATGGCAGAGCCCCATTTTCAGCCATGAATTTGACTTTTAAATGTTGCTTTCTGGTATATATTAAAATACCTCCTCTGCAGAACAACTTATGCATTAATGAGCAAAGGTGGTGGCAAGCTCGTACTGTACTACTTCGTATTTCAAATGACAGCCCTCGAAGTTTATAAAACAATGAAGGACCAAATTCTCATGCCCAGGACTGTGTGGTTCAATGCCTGTGCCTACAGACCAAGTGGCATGGGACTGTCGCAGCCCAATCACACCAAGAGGGCTCTATGGAAATGGAAAGACGTGGCTCATCCATCTCCACGCTCCATTGCCAACAGAAAACTTTATTTTCCCCAACTTTATCTCAAAAGCTGTTGGCAGCCAACAGGTTTCACACCTGTGTACTCCAACTGTATTATGCTGGCCATCTCAGCTGTAATATGCTGCATGTCTCAGCCCCAGGACCAGCAAACAGGAGAGCACGGAGCTGCTCCCTGCACCATCCTTGGCTCCCTCCTTCCTTATCTGCATAGCTGGCAGTCATGTTGGGCTCCAGCAGCTGTCAGACAATCCTTGACAAGGCACCCTGGATCCCAGGGCACACTGAGTGAGATGGGAGGAGAGGCACAATTTTGGCACACTGCTCCTGGCATGGTCCTGTTTTTTGTATTACAAAACGTTTGTGGAGCTCGAGAAGGCTGCCAGGTCCAGCCCAGTCTACCGGTTGGTCTTTCCACTTCCTAACTGCATATACACCAAATGCAACTCTCCTTTCACTCCACTGAGAGGGAATCAGACCCTTCCCTAACTCACTCTTCAGGAATCAGATCCACCTTGGTGCTGCTGACTGAACAGTTTTTGGGATATACACCTGTATTCTCTATCAGAAACCATTTCATTTTGTTAAATGGCAGGGTTTTTCAGTCCCTGGGATTTTCTCCTTGTCTCTAGGATATTTTAAATATGGAGCTTTTTCATGCCAAAGTGACGAATCCAGGTGAGAGAGACTGCATTATCTATTTCATGGCTTCCTTGGCTGCACGGATCTCCAATCTAACAATCACCGTGCCAGGAGAGAAGCACTATACCTGAATCACACCCTCTGTTGCACTGTTTTTTCTCAGGACACCTCAATAAGGCTGTTAATAACTTCATTTTCTCATGGCAAATTAGCAAAGCTATTTTCTTGTCTACTTATTCCTGAATCAAATCAGAGAGTTTTCCTCAATTATTCTCCCATTATTCTCTTGATTCTGTCATACACACTCACTACTAAACTTGCCCTCAGATTATTGCGTCATGTTACACATGTACAGACGAAGAAAGGACACACTTTTACTTTTTTTTTTCTTTTTTTTTCTTTTTTTTTTTTTTTTTAAGAGAAGTAGGGAGAGGGGGCTGAATGTGCAGACAAGGCAGTATAATTCAACCATCCAAGCCCTACCAGAGCATGAAGATTTTATTTTTTTAATATTGCAGAGTAAGTTTCCCAACAGTCAGTGTTTGTCCCTGAAGAAGGTTAAACCTTAAACACCTGCTTCAAAAAAAAAAAAAAAAAAAAAAAAAAAAAATCCACAAAGAAACAACCCAACAACAGAAAAGGAACCAAAACCAAAACAAAAACAAAACAGAAACAAAAAAATAAAATAAACCAACCAAACTCTAAGCCTAAGGGCTTAAAAATTAGAGGCATAGCCTTTTTCTCTATTTTCTATATTTATATGAAAATAATTCATGCTTCATGCTAAATACATTATTTACCTTACAAGAACTTTGTCATCTTTGAATTAAAAAAATTGTTTGCTTTTTGTGTTTCCCCTCCCCCCCCCACTTCCAAAAGGAATCCATGCAGTGTGGATCTTTTTTTTGTTTTCTGCTGGCTACGCTGGTTGAATCTGGAAATCTGTGGTTTTTGCACAGATGAATCCTGACTGACTTTAACTGCAAAGCTCCCTTCTGAGGGCAGTGTAGGAGCTGTTCTGTTGAACTTAATTTCATTGTTCATCAATATGCTTTCCTGTTGTTTTTTTAAATTACAGAATAATACTAATGGCAGGTTTTGTAGCTTTTTTCCCCTCAGTTAGATCAAATATTTGATCCACACAAAAGGATTCTGATTTATTTTCTCAGACTTGATATCTACTGTAATTTCTTAGACTTGATTGCTTTTCACTCAGGCAGTTTAGAAGACACAGCTTGTTTTTCCCTATACTATTATTTTTTGCACGCAGTGCCAATCTTCGGGCTTATGGCTTTTTGAACATTCAGTTAATTTAATATAGAAGACATAATTCAATGATTAGCAATGCTATTAACAGTGCCGCCACCCCCTCCCCCCCATTTCTTTCCATTATTTCACTCGTTGCATACACAGTTCCGACTTCCCAAAAGTCACCAGTCTTCCCGCTAGGAGCCACATACCGTACGCGACGCACTGGAAGTGCATTACGGTATGCGCAGCTGCCACCAGTGGCTGTCCAAAGACTTCTATGGCACGGTGCATCCAAGTGCCACTAGATGGTCTGTGGTTTGGTGTGAGAAGTACACGCCTTCTCTTTCCCCCAAATCTCTTTCTTCACATTCACTCACATCCCAATTGTAAGGCCGTTAAAAAAATTCTTAAGGGCTAGGCCTGAATGACTACTAAATTATGCAATCTCTTCTAGTGTAAGAGAGATTTCCAAGTGCCCAATCTTATCCCATCACAACAATGTTGATGTCACTGCGTATTCAACCATGCATTTTTTGACAAGCCGGAGAAAGCAATGGCGATTTTGGCTTTTTTTTTTGTTGTTAACTTTTTCTCTTCGGGTAATGAAAAGCTTTTGTAAATTAGCTGAGTGTCAGTATGAGTTCTATGGCTTCAATCTCCTTTAAAAATAAAAATCTTAAGGGTCCAAAAAAAAAAAAAAAAAAAAAAAAAAGGAAAAAAAGAAAAAAAGAAAAGAAATAAAACCAAATAGAAAGAAAAATGAAAAAATTGCTGATATTGCCACAAATCATTAGAATTCACCTGACGTGCTGAAACAAAACTTTGTAAGTTCAAACAAATCATTGATTTGTTCTAATTTTTTGTGGTTTCCTTTTGCTCTTTCTGCCCCTTTGCCGTCCGATTGGTGATGTTATTCAAACAGGATCGAATTCCCGCTAAATGCAGGAGGGATCCCGCTGCTTCTTTCATCTCCTCATCGTCACTCTCAGGGGGCTTTTCAGTACGTCTCTTTTTAAGAGGCAGTGTGTCACTTGGTACTTTTTTCGCCTTCATTAAATGTTGCCTTTTCTTGTGCTGGGATGCATACCCACTGTCAGCTAAAGAATCCTTGGTCTCCTTCCGATTTTGCTTTTTGTCCTCCTCTTCTGTTTCACTATGGCTCTCATGGCTCTGGAAGCTGACTTCACTTCCTTCACTGCTGTCTTGGCTACCTTTAGTTGCAAATTCATACTGGTCATCAGCAGAGGAAGAGGAAACGGAGTCACTAGCAGGTGATGTGCTCCTGTGGTTGGAAGATTTGGCACTGCTGTAGTTGTGATCCTCCTTTGGGTCGCCGCTAACAACGGGGGAGCCACAAGACTGTTCGCTTTCTGTCCGCATCCGGCAGTTTGTTATCCCATTCCTGGAAAAGCAAATTGAAGTAGTTGAAAAAACTGCAGAGAAGTAATCCTGCTTCAGTGCAAAAAATAATAAGGTGAAAACAACTGACAGGTAATCGAAAGTTATGATTACTGAAGTAACATCCGGGCAGGCCACTTTCAAAGCCTGATTTTTTACAATTGCTCGCAAATTGGTCTGTACACATTTTTATGGCAATAGATACACAGCAGTACAAGAGGCAGGAGCAAGGAAGGTGGCTGTAAGAACTGATGTCTGGGCGGTCCTGATCCGTGTTTTAAAAAAATAATTAAAAAGTTTTATTTACTAGATTTCAAATAAGTTCTGTGGAGTTATATAAATATCCTCCAACCTTTTCAAATGATACTACTAAAAACGCGAGGAAGAGACACCAACTTCCTGGTGTTCTGCCTTTGCTCCTCTCAGAGACTCCTTCTCAGTTCTGCCATTCCCAGGTAGGAGGATTTCAGCTGGAATCTGCGCGGTGCCAGATGGGACATTTTTGACAGTCACGTTTTCAACCGCAATCAGTTTGTGGATCTTAAAAACAATGTGATTATAAAACACTGCCAACAAAATATTAAAACGTATTCAAAAACAAACAGTACCAAAAAAGCTGATTTTGCTTTAGAAATTTTCATTTTCCTCTTCGTTTTTATGGCACACAGCTCCCAGCGCTGTAGGAACTATGGCAGCACAATATATTAAAAAACTAATGGTGTCCCCTTCTGCACTGGAAGATATTACAGCATTACCAATGACTTCACAAGAGAGAACACAATGCTTGCAAGTCAGCTGCAGAATGGATTGCCTCTGTGCAGTGTTTAATTTCCACTAGGAGAGGGAGATGCTCATCCCTGAGTTCATCATCATTTTCCCTGCCTGTTCACCAGCCTTGAACTCCTCTATCAATAAAAACCAAAATCAAAAACAAGCAAGGCTGTTTCATCTGTCACATGATAAACCACTTTAAAATCAGGTCCTGCCACCTTCGTGCCATCACCACAGTGCTTTCATACAGTCATGACTGCGTTGGTTAAAAACGCACACTCAACACAGGTGCTTCTTAACTGAAATGTGACAGTGACCAGGGGTAGCCCTGTTTCTGCTTTAAAAATGGGAAAGTGCTTTAGTTTTCAGGGAGTGTTGCACAGGTCTGGTTTCTTTACAGAATGAACAACAGAGCATTTTAGATAGGTATGGTTGAAAGTTGGAAAATATAGAAGAGGTATATAATCCCTCAGTTCCTATTCATCTCAATGCACTTATCTGTGGAGCTTACTGAAGTAAGAAACAGCTTCTGAGAACCAGTGACAGGACAGTGCTAAAAGGCAGTGCATTAATCAGTCTCTCCAAATGTTCTTATTTACAGTACTTTCAGATAAATATATGTAACAGAAGGCACAGTTATTAGCAGCCACTTTTGCTCAATAAAATTATTTTCACTTAGATTTTGAAGTAGCTTTATGATCCATAAATTATATACAAAACCCAGGAGGAATACACAATGCTCCTTCAATTATTAATAACTAAATGCAATGTCATTCATGATTGTGCAGCAAGCCAGCTGCATTTACTTTGTGATGGTTTCCCACTGCAGGGGTTGTCATTAGAGGATGCCAAATGCTTAAAAGAAGAAATCATCCATACTAAACTAGTTGAAAGGTGAATTTATAACCAACTCCTTAAGATCAGTCATTATGAGGAAGCATGTGATGCATGTTAAGTGACAGATTCTTCATTTTTAGGGTAAATTTACATTTAAATATGTTCAAAATTATCATAAATTTGCATAAAATTAAAGTTACTTGATTTTATTAGTCAGGGCAATGTGTCTCAATAAACATCACATGTTCCTAGTCCCCCACATAAAGCCACCAATAAATTCTTGCTCCAGGGGAAAAAACACAGGACAGAATAGATAGGAACCCAAGTAGAATTCTTATGGATTAGGTTACTAGTGAAAAAGGCTTCTGAAAGATGGGATTTAAATCAAGATGCCCAATTTTGTGTTATCAGATCTACCTCTATTTGCTCTCTAAAACTATGAGCAACCATGTGCCAAAAGACCACCCTGGCTTGCCCCCTCTTGAGTCTAGTGTTTGCTTTTCCATGAAGGGGCTCTGATTTGGATTCAAAAGCTCTGCCAAGGGACATACTCCAGATCCCAATCCCCTAAAAAAAACCCAAAACAACAGAAAAATGGAATGAAAAGGCCCAGGGATTACAGGAGCAATGTCCTGGGGGAAAGTATACTACTATGGGGTTAGAATCCCACAGGAATGATTGCAAACAGGGATGATGGCAAAGAAAGAGAGAAAAGGACAAAAAAAAAGGACTTTAAAATAAGTGGGAGGAGATAAGAAATACTGCATTTCAAAAGAAAAGGAGCTATGGTGGAACTGGTCAGGAAACGGACAGCATTTGCATCTCAGAAAAATCTTTATATTTTTCACTTACATTTTGAAAGATTTCCAACCAGTTCTGCTTGGGGAAATAAAAAAGGAAGAGAAAGAAGGTCAAGGAGAGAAGTAGCAAGGGTTATCTGCAGAGATGAAAATGAGTTATACAGGCAGAGTGACTTAGAATATTCATCAGGTCAAAATTCACGTAGCCTGAAAGAAAATTCATCTGATAGGCAACAGGCCAAAACATAGGAAGAATTAGTTAGAACTGATATTAGTACGTAAGTAAGAGTTGAATAAACTTTCATCTAAATCATTAATAATCCACACATGCTTCTCAGACATTGTCAAGCTTCATATTGTGCTCGTACCCACTCACGCACTCACTAACACATCAGTCTGGTGATCTACTAAGTTCAATGCAGATCATCAGCAGATGAATTCCCTCAGGCTTCAGGGGACAGATTTTGGCCAGCTGAATCTATTTTTGCTCAAAATTCTGGTTGTGATTCTAACTTTGTCACTGAAACAACAATAGTTGTTTTAAAACAGGCACTTGCTCTGATGTTTGGATTGGTATTTAATTATACTGAAGAAGAAAAAATATTTAAGAGTTGCGTGCTCAGTGTAACAGTGAGGCAAAATTTAAAGTAATACCTTATTATTTCCCCATTTTCTAGTTCAGCACTTCATTTCATAATTTCCAGAAACTGACGTGTTCTCAAATATGCCTGCCTCTGTCAGGAAAGGCCATGGGGCAGTCTCTGGAGCCTTTCATCCTACAGAGTCTTATTTGCTTGAGGGTTCTTAACCACAGTTCTACACCTGAAAGTACCATGCACAGATTCTTTTAATATTTCAATTTGGCTGTAGCACAATTACACAACCCTCAAGGTCTACAGAGATAAGTCGGCCTTTTGAAAGCCTGATTCCATTCCCCTTGTAAATTGATATGAGTTACTAATTTCATCAGGAGCAAAATGGAGCCAACAGGAGCTGGATCTCAATGCAGTAATGAAACAATTGCTTTTGCACAGTGTCACTCCTTCTGCCTTTTAAAGGGATCTTCCTTGGGATGCAGCAGAAGTAAGTCTCCATTCTGTCTGCAACATGGCAAGAAGTTTGACTGAAAAATACTTACTGTATTCCACATCAGACACAGGTATATTCCTTCGTTGAACAAAACAAACCTACATAAAGTCTAAATACCAGCTTAATCCCTCTAAACATTTTGGATGACAGGTAGTGTGAGTTTTGGAAACAGAGAGTTAAAAGATATAAAGAAAGCAATACAGTTTGCTACCCTAAGTTGAATGTATGCATTCTGTCAGGCTCCAGGTTTGCTAACACACTCTTTTACCATAAAGGCAATACAATTTCAGAGAAAAATTCAGGACAGTCAGTTTTAGATACAGGTAGTTGAACTGTTATTTATAAACACTACATACCAGCAGATGGGACAATAAGCAAGCATATGGAAGATAAGTGATGCTCACTTGTTGTATGAAGAGATTCTATCAGGGGCTATTGAGTCAGATACAAGTCAGATACACTACTGATGGAAGCTCTTACAGAGATACTTCACAGAGTAATTGTATGCAAAGAACCATAACAAGCATGAATCATGAACTGCTAGCAAAAAGAGCACTTTGTCAATAGCAACAGCAAATCTGAAGTTCAGGCAAATGCAGCCCTCTTCTTTTTGCAGAAGAAATAACTGTCAGCTACACCTTTGGTCCTTCAGTCATCCCAATGAAAACATACCCTGCCTGCTGCAGGTGAAAAGGGGAAAGCAATCCAACAGGGATGACGTGGGGTTTGTTAAGCTGGACATATCAGTAATACACTAGAACATTAAGAATATCCACTTAAGAATTTATGAAAGGAAATATCTACCAGTTCCTTTAAGCAGAAGTAATTGTATACAGACACGAGAGCATATAATCCTACAATGCTTTGGCATCTATGCTGCACATGTTACTTATGTTTGGTTTATTTAATCACTCCTGAATAATGTAGTAATTGCCCTACAAATTTGAAGTTAAAATAATCATAAATAAAAATCTTGCCTCTTCAAATAAAATTAGGCACAACAGCCATTCCTGTCAAACTCCAGTGATGATGAGCAGCAGAGGAACTGCAGCAAGGTATCTGTGACCTGCCCACTGCAGGAAGGGAAAGCTTATGCTTAGCAGGTTTGCTTTGCTGTGGGAAGGATGTGCACAGACACAATCCACGCATGTGATAAGGAAACCAAGGCAATTTACAGAGATCATGGTGAGAGGTTTCTGCTGAACGCACTGGCACTGTAGTCCAAAATGCTCTACCAAGCTCATGCTCTTCCAAAGGGTTGGTGTAATTGGTACCACCTTACAAATTCAGAATGTGACTGCATCTGACAGAGCTTTCTGTACCTTGCCACCATGCATGCTGCAGATGCACTGGCGATTTTGACCATGCCCACTGAAATGTATACAGAAGTCCTCCTATAGAAACATCTAAAGGGTATTTTCTAATTTTACACAGCTAAAAGCACAGTCAACACCACCTTCAAAGCACAGTCAACTCCATGCTCACGTAAGCCACTACTTACTTTGATTGCTTTCACTGAATACCTTTTTAAGTCAGTATTTTATTTTCTGTGCATTCAGAGTAGCACTGCATTTGCTTTTAGATTCACTTGGGGAACTGTATGGTGATACAGTCTGCCAAAAATACATACGATGGATCTCATGTAAGAGACATGCTACACACTGCACAGCTTTGAAAACCTTATTTTCTCCTGCTGTCTTTGGGTGGGTCTTAGACTTGTCAGCTACAACATGGAAAATAGGGATGATAAACAAGCTAAAAGAAATGTGAATAAAGGAAATAAAAAGCTACTGTCAGAACACAACCAATTATGCTCTGCTGTGGAGATTTAACACCACTGGATGATTTTCAAAGTAAAAACAGTGGGGGAAGCCTTCTCCATTCGTAGATTAGTTTGGGATGAAAGGCCTATTTGTGCAATTTAAGCCAAATGCACTACAACATAACGACTCCATCTGCAACGGCTATTCTTTATTTATGGAAACTGGTGGACTTCTTGCTTCTAAATACTTTTTAATAGGGTTTTTTAATTCATCCTACTTAGATCCACCATATTTTGTTTTATATATAAAGAATAATGTAATTGTATGTAGTTACATGGAAGCAACAACACATTGATATCTTGTGCAGGGACAGAACAGCAAGAATCACACAGTTAACTTGCCAACTAATGGGAGCTAATGTATCAGAAATCACTGATTTCAATGTCTCTTAGCTCTGTGCTGTGGTTTCGGTCTCTCTTCTGAATAACGGATTTATCAAAACATTCTGCTTAATTACAACTGCAAATTTAACCCAAGATCAAACTTGTTACTCTATTTTGACAGTAATGGCAGTCTGCACATCAGGGTAACATACTGCAGGTTATTTGCACGTGGTCCTCTTGGTAACAAATCTAGCTGCATAGACTTATCTTTCATTTTGCTGTGTTCTTCAGCATATGACGCAGAATGGAAACCTAAGTGAAGGCAAAGGACAGTGCAACAGAACTAAATTAATAGAAACCTGGTTTATGGCTTTTCATTCAGAACATCAGAGGAACTCTTCTCCAGAAAATACACAACTAAGTAAAATCTTATTGGATAGAAGGTGTCTGGCCTTCCCTGAATATATAGGTTGAGGGACACAATTTCTGCAGGTTAACTGGAAAATCAGACTACACCACAGACCTGCTGCTGCTGGTGAAAAAGCTGGAAGGGGACATTTCTGAAAACATCCCCTGCCATCCTGACTAGGGTAACTCCCTGCACACAGGGAAGGCAGCTACGCACAAGCAGTACTCCCACTCTTCACAGCAGCAGAGGAATGCTGCACAGACACTGTGATAAACTCCCTCTGCTGTACACAGTAAGCAGAAGTTGTATGGATTTCCACGAGATGCCACAAAAGCTCAGCACAACAGGCTCCATTTAGCTGTGCATATCTGAAGAGAAGAACAAGCACCAAGAAACAGGATGTTGTTTTTACAGTAACAGAAATATCCAGTTTTCAGAGGTCCAGATGATGTTCTAAGAGGTACTATGCATCCAAATCGACTTTCCTAAAGAAATTCTGATTCTTAATATCCCCAGAAGGCACAAGACAAAACTGTCTTCTGAACTTGCTCTGCTGCAGAGAATCCCTTAACTTATCCAAATCTCTCACAGCCTCTTCCCTGCTCTCCCCCCCACTTTTTTTTCCCCCAAGAATTAGAAGATATTGCAGAAGCTCCTGAAGAAGAGCAGACATCATGCAGACCAGCAATATATTCCTAGTAAGCTATTTCTACTACTGCCTAAGGCTGGAGAAGAGAACAAAAAGAATTAGAAATATGTCTGCGTAAACGCTCTTCTGTGAGACAGAGCAAAAAGAATGTAAGCAAGGGAGGGGTAAAATCCCTTATCTCCCAAATCTAGATTAGCATGTAGCAGGGGACGGTCCTGTTCTACCTGCTGACCCCCTCCCACTCCAAAGAGAAGACCTCAGAAATGTATAAAAGTTAACTATATGCAGCCTAACAACACAGCAATTTGGAGATGTCTACACAGAAGAAAGTTTTTGAGTGGCCATGGATGGAAAAACAGATCTATCTCCTCCTTAAGTTAACCCTGATTGCAGAACAGAAAGTCTCGTCTTCCTAAGGAAGGGCCCTGAGCTGGAAGTGCAGATAAGCTGCACATTCAGAGAATATTCAGACCACTGCATCTTCTGTTTAGCTTGGTCACTTCCTAAATGCATGTATACAAATGTATAAATGTATGTATACAATATACAATCCAGCAGTCCTATAGCTCTGCAGTCCCCTCTGCAGCAGAATACAAGTACCCGCAGAATACAAGTACAAGGCCAAAGCCAGAAGCAGAGCCACAGAAGATGGCTGCCCTCCACTGCTAGCAAGACCAGACAGCAGAAAAGTGAGATGGAGAGAAACTCTGCAGACTTCTGGGGGATGACCCCTAGGGCTGTATCTCTACAGCATAGCAAATATGAAAAACAGTTGAAGCAGCTGCCCATCAAAGTTAGTGTCTTTCCTCCTCTGCATTTTTAGTCATCAAGATTACATGAATATCTCTCTCCCTCCATTTTTTTGGATGTAAAAACTATCCCCAAAGAGCTGGACAATAATTCTGAAAAGAGATAAAAAATAAAGTGCAATGAAAAAAATCCCAAGTAAATAATGATGGAACAAGTAGCTATCCAGCTCCTTCATTTCACTGCTTTGCAACCACTTACTGAGATTAGTGTGCAACTGGAGCAGCCCAGCAAAGCAGTGCCAGCACTGAACATGAAATCCCACCCAGAATATCCAACTGCCTGAGCTGGCTTTTACTGCTAATGTGAGCTTTGAAAGAGCACTGGCAGCACACTTGATGGATTATTCTCTGTTGTGACTGACACAAAACGGAGCTACACCTGAGGCAAATTGTTCGTGCAACAATAAACCATCACTACTTTAAGTAAAGCAAACCGCTGAACCACAGTTCTTATTGCCATCACTAGATGTCTCTTAGTGCCCTGCTTTCTGGAAAAAAAGTCGAGGATCTTCAAACAACACTTTACCCTTGAATGTCTCAGTATAACCTTGAAATAGAATCTGTAATGAAAGAAACCATCTCACAAAGACCTACATTAATAACAAAATAACAGCTATAGTTATTTAATCCCAGAAAAAAGAATCAGGAAACTGTCTTTAAAGGGGGATGGGGGCAGGAAAACATATCTGCACTAAGAAAAAGAGGCCACCCGAGGAGCTTCTTACAGAAAGCTGCCTTCAACTTGCTAGTGAAAACAAAACAATGTTCTTTGTACGCCTTTATGAAATAAGACAGAAATGCCATGACTATCTTGCAAAGAATGGCAGTCCGTGAGTTTTGGATGGCAGAGTGTCTCTTTCATTTAAAATCTCCTAAGTATTAGCAAGCAGTAAATTTTCTCGTGTTCCAAGCTTATGCATATTATTATATTATCTGCAAAATAATAATTTATTCTATAAAGATCTCACAATGAGCCACTCTTACCTTACTGCAACAGCCATGCTTCCTATAGGGCTGATTGGCAATGGCCTGGCTCCAGGAAATATTCCTCTACTCAGAACTCGAGCTCCATTCTGTATCACTCCTGGAGGAACTAAAAAACAAAAAGGAGTATATTTTTTCTTTTAAAGAAAACATCAGCAAAGTGTGTGAGCAAAACGTGAATGTTAAGCTTTTCAGTGAATTGAGAAAACATCGGAGAGGCTTGTATAGTGCACTGCTTACCTTCCAGCATCTCATCTCAACTCGTGTGAATGCCATCCTATTTTCAATGCTATTTTCATTGCAAATATTTTGACAGCAACTAGTGATAAAGTGGCTTGTGGAAGCCACTGCCTGACCCAGTTGCTGCAGATCACTCTGTGTACAATCGAATGGTTTTATAATCACAGCTCTTCTGGGAATGTATGTGCTTACGAGTCAAAAACAGCTCTGAGCATAGATGTAACTTTCATTTACTGTAAGAAACAATGACCCTTTACAGACAAGCAGAATGTAAGCAGCCAGCAGTCAGGTACCTGCAGCATGCAGCCTGTTCACAGGCCTCAGTGAGGGGGCAAAGACACTGGCCACTGGGGATAGGAGGTTTCACTGGGGTCTTGTCACTGGGCTGGGCATCGGGCACTGCAGCTCTGTCCAATAAGAATTTAACCAACATCCGAGTACTTCATTTCTACAGAGGTGCTTTTCAGTGTCCTCATCATTTTCTTCTTCCTTGTTGGGCTGCAGGACTACTGAACACAGCACTTACCAGGGACTTGGGCATAACTGCACAACTGTTAAATCTCTGCAGACAGAAACCACCTTCACTCAAACATGCTTCTTTAATGTCCATAATCAGCCTGTTTTTCTTACTAAAAGTCAGCATTTGTACATACCTTCCCCTAACGCGCAATGTCCGAAAGGACAATGGTTACCATTACTGTGTATGTGTTACTTTTAAATATATATAGAAAAATACATATTAAATAAACACAAACAGCTACATTATTTTACTTTCAAAGGTTGTACTTCCGCAAATACAGAGTGACTAGAAAACTCATTCAGCCTAAGAATCAAAGAACACTTTTACACTTCACACGCCCAACTTCAAATGCCCATACTCAAAAACATTAGCGAGCTTTGAGGCAGAGAAATAAATCCAGGCCTAGAAACATATTATTTTTAAGCTGCTGAGGTACCTATCAACACCAAGCCGGAGCCATGCTCCCCTTCCTGTATCCTGATGCTCACCTTGCTTCATTCCAGACCACAAGGATTAGTCCTGGAAAAATAATCTTCTTTTCTCCTGCTGGTGACAGCACATCACCCCTTAATCAAATCCTGCCACTGTGTGATACCACCCTTGCTTCTGAGAACCTCTGAAGAATAGGTCATTTATATTTAGGTGCTTAAGTACAAACTCAAATGGCCAAAATTACAGAACCTACTTTGTAACAACAAGGGTCAGCTTTCAATGACCAAAATAATTCTAAAATCACTTTTTGCTATTTATACTTCACTACTTTGTGCACATTTTCTTCCAGCACTAGATTATGAGAAATCAATCGCGTACACTTCACTCGGGGCTTTCAATGTTCCTGTGTTTGGGTTTGTAAATAATATAGAGGAATGTTCTCTTGCTAATAACTCCCAAGTCTGAGGTTTTTTTATTTTGTTTCATATTTCTTTCATAGCATAACCTTATGAAGGCCAAAACAAAGACATAAAAGTGAAATGATCTGCTCAAGGATATGTCTAGCAGAAAACACACAAAGAATGGGCAAATTTAAAGTAACATATGAACTTGCTAAATATCTGAAGATCAATGAAAAGACATAATTTCCAATGGGCACTGTTTCCCAGCAGGCTTACAAGAGGGACAGATTTCATTCTTCACTACACAGTACAGTTTCTGTGTATTTACAAAGTCCCCTTAAAAGAAATGAACCAAGAAATTTGACCTAGAGAGATATGGTAATTTCATCTTTACTCAGATACAAACCATAGAGTTTTATACTGAAATAAACCATTTAGGCATGCACACACGCACTCACTTGTCAGTTAGCTATGTGTGCTGACTAAATAAATATACATACACAACTTCAAAGCAAACACATTGGCAATTCTGCTGCAAGAAAAGGAGCAACAGACTCCCTGATGCCCAAACTCTTCTTTCCACAGTGACTTAATTATCCTAGTCTGTTGGCAAAGTTAGCTGATATTTATCTCAGCCCTTCTTCTCTCCTTTCTCCCTGTTTCTGCCTTACTGGCATCCCTTTAAGAAATTGGTTCTTTAAAAAATCCTGTTTACTCTTACCCATCACTTCTCTGAAACCATTGGGTCATGTCTTTTCTTCTTGGCTTTCTCAGACTTTCAATTTTTTGCACTCTCATGTACATAAAGTACACCATGTTTTGTAGCTTGGAGTTTGTATTTATTAATAACCACATTCACACCACTCCTCCATCCATAAGTCATGCTGTGCTACTTGGGAATGACCTCTTCAAAAGTTTCACATTTAAACAGATTCCAGTCTGAGCACACAAACATATTCAACTTCTTCCCTTCAGTAATTAACAAATGCTAAGGAGAAGAAAAAAAGAAAAAATAAAAAGAAGTTCACTGCCCTTTGGAACTATCCCCAAAGAGACCCCCTGACACACTGGCACCTATTCCTATGTATGAAATTCACCCCAGTTACACCTGGTCTGTTCAGTGTGCCATCCAAAGACTTCGGTAGTACTGATAGTGCCAAAAGAAGCCTTAATTTTTCTTAAGTATACCACAGCTCTGAATATTGAAATTAATACTCAGAATTCAGTAATTATTTCAGCTTGCAATGCAGTGATTGGTCCTCATTTCTCTTTTAGTTTCCCAAAACACTCTGAATTACAATGCAGCAGTACTGCTGCATCACCAGTTCAGCCATGCAAACAAACAGAAAGGCTGTGTACAAGGGATCAACCACAGGAGAAACCCAGATAGTGCAGTGTATCTTTCCTGTAAACATCTGGAACCGGCAAGAAAAAAAAACCTGCTGTTAAAGGAGTTTCCACAGCACCCTTAACATAAAACAGAAAAGCAGTGGTGATCAAAACAATGCAGCAGCAGAAGTTATTAATTTCTAGGTTATCCACACAGCTGGCATGGCACCGTGTGACTGCTACCTACTGCATTCCGAGCAGCATCAACACCCATCCCTCCAAAGATGACAGTAATTTATTTTGAATTGTTGATACCTACAAACTGCCAATGTATATGCTGTCCCTGATAGCCGGATACTATCCCTGCCTTTGCACAGGTTGTATGAAATAGTTACTGATTATCCAAGGAATTATTTTCACGCATTGGCACTTTTGAGGGCTTTTGGGTTATTTACTGGAAAATACGTACAGCTTTCATTCCAAAGATAAATTTGTGCCTCCCTAGCTTTAATTAAGTTTTGAAACCATACTTTGAGGTTAGTTATTTATATTTTAGATTGAAAATTCAAAGTGTGGAGGTAAAACAATTTACTCTAAGCCGTATCAAAAATCAGAGCTGGTGTGTACTAACACCATCCAGTCCCGAGTCCTCTTTTGTAATGCTTCTTTAACCAAAGGCACAGGCAGGTTACATGGATCCACATTCCTAGGCAGAAGTGTGAAATGTAATTTACACCTTTTCTGTGTTCCTAGAGACGGTGATGTCTGAGGAATACATCTTGAAAAAAAACCAATGCAAAAAGATCAGTACACCTCTTTGATTAAAGGTTTCTTCTTTCATAAAATGTTCTTAGTGAAACTTGAACGGTCTGAAAGAATAAAATCATTATTTGCTCTTCAGCTTCCATCGCTGCTTTGCTCTGAAAGTGGCAATGGATCTCATTTCTCTCCCAGAAAGCTTAAAACCCAAGAAATATTTCATTTAGAGTAAATAGAGATAAACCATACAGAGAATTTGCCTCTAATCTGTTGCATTAAAGAGGCAAAGGATTTTTGATCTTACTCTGTTCTGGTGAAATTCCACAACTGGAACAGAATTTGGTGGAATTTCAAGTCTCTAGTGCTTGACTGCAGAGAAGCAATAGGTATAGCATCAAAAATCAGAGCTACATCTATAAAATTTTCCAAGGAGGAAATAATCTTTCTTTTATACTCTACAGCAAACTTTTACATTAACAAGTTTCACAGACAATAAAGTAAATGCCATGTGGTAGAACATGCCATAATCAGAATCCATCAAAATGTTAGATAACATTAAAAAGATCCAACAGAACTATACAAATTGCTGCTCTGCAGACTGCACCCAGCAGCTTGAGGTGGAAAATAACACGGTGGCTGCATGACCATCCCACAGCTGGTGCAGGACTGTTCCAACTGAGCATATTCTTAAGTACACTGTCTCAAACTGTGGGACTTCTTTTATCACAACCCTTGGCAGATGACACCTATAATCTCACAGAGCGTGTGTGTCAGAAACAAACTCCTCCTGTCCAGCTGAGCTAACAACCCTGTCCAAGCCCTTCACAACAACCAAACCCAGGTCAGACTGGTCACCTTTCTCTGAAGAGATGACTGTTCAGCACACAGTGTATCAAATCAGCAAAACGTAAGTGGAAACGGTGGAGGAAATACTCAGCAGAAAGTGTCAGCAGACACACTGACGCTCCAGCTCCTCACTAAATAAGGAACATAGCTTCTTGGTCAAATGTTGGCGTGAGGAAGTTAACTCAGCATTAATAAATTGTTGTAAATTAAGGAAATTAATAAGAAAAGGGTAATGGACATGTTCTTTACATCATCTGGGAAACAAGCATACTCTGTTAAACTCTCTAGCTCAAGGTAGCCAACTGTTAGAGTAGTGAGGAAAAACGAGTTTTTACTGAAGTGAACATTTCAAAGCACGAAAGTGGCATTCTGTTGGGACAGACTGGTTTCTTCTGCCTCTCCTGTCATCATGTGGCACACGCGTTTATGTCAGCCTCTCTTCCCTGAGTCATCTCATGTAGCATGGATGAAATTACTATAGGCAGGAGATACTGAATGTCTGCTAATATCTGTCAGCTTTAGATTCTTTCTGCCAGTTCTTCCTTCCAGGACAGCATTTAGCAGAATACTTTATCTCAGGCT